CTAAGCAGAAGATCACCAGATTGCTGTGTTCCAAGCGAGATGCGATGATGATGGCTCTTATAATCCGTTGGTGGAGTCATATCTACGTTATTATCTTTCCATGTATAAAGGCATGCTGACTTACTGAGAACTCCTGTGTCCGGCGCAGACAATAGCAGCCCATGAATCGATTTTGAGCAAGCTCTAGTCGTAAGGCTCTTCTGCTATGGATAAGCTTTATTGTCGGCAACGCCAGCCCATCGCAGCGTTAATCGAGCTGGGCGCGCCTTACGTAATCGGCGATTACGTAAGGCACCGGCCTCCGCGATCAACGCCGCGATCGCGGCCGCTGCCTCTAACGCAGTTAACCTCATCCACATCACCACCAACGCAGTTAATATAATACGATATTTGCTGCCCACAGTGCCCTACCAGCTAGCTGGTCCTGTGAGACCAACATTTATGTTGCGCTCTGAGGTGTGCAGGTCTGGTTATCGGAGCTCGGTTCCTTGTGCTAGAATACCTCCAGAGTGAGGCATGAGGGAGACGACGGACGACGGTCTGGTGGGGGTTGTAGCGGGATTAGGGACGGGGGAGAGGTGTTTCGGGGTCGTTGGGGCTGTTCCGGTGGGGATGTTGAGTCGTGACAACTTCCCATTGGCCTTTGCCTGTCAACATGCGAAACAATGGTTCAATTTGGGTTATGGTTTAAGGGTTTGATGTCGTAGGTCTTTATATACTGCAACAACCTGGCTGCATGCTTTGGGATGAGCGTGAGGAGTTGGGAAAGTACATATATTGCCAGTCAGAGCAGGTTTTCTTTCTAGAACGATAAATGGCCGGCCTTGATTGCTCTGGTCGTGCTTTCCAACGGATGGGGGTCTAATCATGGTGCTTGCTTGCCTCGCTCCGGTGATAGAATGGAGAGGTCTGAGAGGTCGTCAGTATGTGATTCAATGGATTCTGAATTTCCGTATGCGGAGGAATAGTGTGAGAATAGGAGAGAGCACGGACGATGGAAGTGTCCACATATGGATTGGGTTCGGCGAGGAGTGTCACAGTAACCATATACGTTAATAGCTGGGCATTCAAGCCAAGGAAAGACTAAGGAACAGTAATCACTGCGTACGAATTCGACTGATTGTCTTGGCTGTATAAGATTAGACCTGGTGTGCTTTAGAAGGGGCTATTCATGTTTGAAGTTAGCAATGCATGGGGTGCGGCTCGGCGACAAGAGAGTTTGGCTCAGGCGAGCGATGAGAAGAAAGTTCAGGAGGACGGCGCTTTCTTTTAGGGGTTGTGTATGAGCCTTTAAAGCCCGGTGTGGTAGCAGATTTCCTTTTGTAAGACGCCAATCTGCTCCGCAGTCAACGTTAAGTCAAACAGATGATTCGAGGGAGATGGTGCAATTCTCGCCTCCATGTTTGAAGCTGTAAATGCACCAGGAAGCTGTTGGGCTATTGCGGAAGAAGTGGACGCATGATGTTGTTCCAGATGGAATACTAGTGGACCGAGAGAGACGGACGGTGATGGCATAGAAGGGCATTATGAGGAAGTGAGGATCGGAACCGGGAGTTGTGATGGCTGAGCCACAACTTTTAGTCAAGAGAACATGATCATAACCGAACCATTATTACTTCTTTGCCCCTTTTCGACAGGATCTTAACAGCCCTTGAGATAAATCAGTATGCGATGAGGGGTTTCTTATATAGGCTGTAATTCATGACGATGAGTTGATGCAGTTGCGAATGTGGTTCTGGAGGATCATTGGGTCTTGGCGCGTCTGGAGAAGGGTTTAGAGAGCGGGCTTTGGTCGAACTTTCGTCCCACAGCGCAATGAGGGGTTGATTCTTTCCCGTGGCATCTTTTTGGCTCGTGCTAGAGACAGCCTGATGTGACGGGGTTGAAGGCGTTTTCTGCGAGTTGGCATCCTCACAAGTTTGCGACCGGATTGCACGGTGGATTGGGCTGGAATACGTAGAAGATAAGTGCGAATGGAGAAGGGTGAAGAACAGAGGGGCAGTGGTTTCCTTGCCTTGTCTTGATATCAGTTCGGTTGAGACTCCGACTCTGTACTGGGAAGAGGTTTTGGTTGGCTACTGTTGGAACCGAGGAAGACGCGTGGTTGAATTGTTAGGAAAGCTTTAGAAAGAAGTTTCTCTCCTTGTTTTATACGCTTGAACAGGTGACCACTCAGTGAGGAGAACCATCATTATTGCTCTGATGTACTTATGGGCATTTCGCGTTCTTGTGCGGAGGCCTTTCCTACAGGTCGCAAGCTGCACCGGGATATTCTTCTTACTTGATGACTTACATAAAGTTGATGGGCACTTTATTGCTACGTCCAATTTCATGCAGCTTTTGCCAAATTGTATTTGTTTCAATCTTTTCACAGTGACGGCACGCCTTTCGATGACTTATCTGGGCCTGACAACGATGAAACTTTGATGCAAGCTCGAAAAATGCTTCTGGGAGCCTTGAAGTCTAGGCTTCCCGTGACTGTGAAGATTAATACGCAAGGGAGTGCGCTAGATGACGGACGTGGATGGGGGCATGCTCGAGTGTGGCTTGGACGGCGGCGTACGAGTTAAAGGGATGCTTCATTAGAGGTAGCATAGCTCACGTCAACATTAGGTCTTTTCAGCCTAGTCCCGATTCTGAATTTGACGACCCAAGCACGTATTTGTCTCGCGCTGCTCTAGGCTCATGGCGGTGGTCTGCTCCTTAAATGCATTCCATCGTGGACGATTGAACTCTGGGCTGTGTCCCCCCTCAAGTTGCAGGAAGGCCTTCAGCATGCGACAGGAAGAGTGAAATTCGGAGATCTTGATCCGCTTGAGTATATATTAGTAAAGACATCTTCCTTGTTAATGGTAGTCTTCCACAAGAAAATCAAATTCTCTGAGTCTATGTGAAGTTGACGATTCGGCTTCTACTTGCCTGGCTTAGTGTAAGGTGTAACCGTAGGCTGTTCAAAACGACCATTCTGTTATTTGTATCAGACAAGAGCCGTGATCATATTCCGGATACTTTGCCTCAAATACTCTGCAGATAACGGGGCGGCCTGCCAGCGACGTGAATAGAAGCCCTTACCTTCAGAATTGAGATGTGGAAGCCAACCAAAGCGAACGCTATCAATGAGTAACATAACGGTGACGTTTGTGCTGCTGGAATGAGAGACAGGCTTTCAATACCCAGTATTGTTTGTAGACAGCATAAGCTCTGAGTAGACCGCTTTTTATCGTTGATCACATGACATGAAAATACCTAGAGCACAATGTATAAAAATTGAAATGCATTGAAGCCATCATGTTTTCAATGTTTCTGTGTCTGATGATCACCTCTCCCGAAAAGAACGATAGTACTAGGGCGTCCAGGTACAGCATGCCAAGGCATGTAGGGATGATGTTATGGCGGATTTGCGCAGATGGTCGAGTCATCATTAGAAGGACGTCTGATTATCATGGACAGAATAAAATGGGAACGCGTCAGATCAGTGACAACAGTTTTGGTGGAATTTTGGACATCAGTGCGATCTGAAAGCATACCGATCTTTGTGTCCGCATCTCCGTGGGAATGAACTTGGGACTTGTATAACCGCTGCTTCTAAGTAGCAACCCTCCCAGACGATCGCTGTCTAAAAGGTTACAAGTAATCGCTGCGAAGCCTTAAATATGATCCACCCGCAAAGATACATTCTGGTAATGGTTTACAGTCTTGGTCAAGTCCGAACTCGAGACGGGTGTGGTGCGACCTTTGTGATGGGAGAGGGTCCCAGTTGGGGCTGCGAAAAGAAAACACAAGAAATGTTTCATTTTGGAGCCTTGGTTCCCAACCAAATCAGTAGGGTCGATGATCCCAATCCGTTTCTATTGAAGAATAAGGTAGTCTTGTCTGATCAGACATTATAGAGGCGAAATCCTGCGGCTGCACATGCTGGGGCGCCATTTAACTGCTCAAGGCACGCCTTATAATTAGGACTGGAATACCCTAATGACAGGCAAAATGAAAGATGATGACATACTTATTTTTTCAGGACCGGGACTCGAGGAAGCTATACAGGAAATCACAGAACAACGCCAGGGCCACCCCAAGCCGGCTGGCCCACCTCCTGCGAGAGCTGAGAAACGGGATTAAAGGTTCGTTGGTAGAACCTCATTTGTGTAGTTTATCGATACTTGCTCATAGAGAAAGGGCTTTTATAGTTGGGCTCTCTCTCGGAAGTTCATGTCGACGAAGTAAGGCAAGTTAGTGGTTTCTGTCTGGCCCCTGAGTAAACCAATGCAGCGCTCTGGTGGCATATGGTAAGTGGGGAGGACCTCGACTTGATCCTCACAATACATTTGTCTCCACTTGCGATGAGGCCGTGGGTAAGTTCCTGACTATTTTGGAGATCCCCAATCATTGTCGTTCATTGCCCTCATTGTCTGGGTAATCAGAAGTTGACCAGAAGGTTCCCCTCCGACTTGGGTCGTGTACATATATCCCTACTGACAAGGCAACTTTGTATGTACCCATACGGAGGAATGTACGGTCCTGAATATCTTCCTAAGGTGCTGAATCGTCGGAGAACAATACGATTCAAGTCGATTAATGGAAGAATCAGAACTCGTTCTGAAAGAATAGCTGATACAAGACGCTTAGACAATAAAGCATGACGGCGATATATAATTTGCTTCCGTCATATGCGCGCACATTCGAACAGTAGAAACAAAGCTGCCTAGCAGCGACAGCTGGACCTCAAGTCGATAAGTATATCTCAGCTGATACCTAGCTATCCTCATTCCCTGATTCTCGTCCTCGACATATCATGCTTGTCAAGGCTCCTGTTCCAAACTCTGCTTTTATCCTTCTTCCAAGGCCCCTGTCACCTTAGATGAAAGAGCGTGTCATTTCTAAATAGTGACTGAAACTGTTCCTCTCAGCAGCGGTATGTTGACACAGTTGTCCATGACAAGTCGCCCGTATCATTCATCACTAGAACTGTCAACTTCCCAAAGACACAAACATGGAAGCCGTAATTAAGGCGAAGATGGATAACATACGATGCAGTGGGCACGCGTAAATCTGTACGTCGTGGCCGAGATGCAGTTAGAGGAGCCTCCCGCATTGCAATAGACTTTGTTGCCCAAGTTCGTTTCCCCGTAGACGGCAGTGCTGCAGACGTCATCGCAAGTTCTGCCGTTTGCATGCACTGCGCAGCAGTGGCTTCCATCCGGCCAATGGCACTGGCAGTAACCGCATGCTTCGACAGTGGCCATGGCGAGTGCCAAGATGGAAAGAATGGAAGCGAGTTTGACCATTGTGCGCAAGTTTATGAGACTTGAAGAAATGCAATTGTATGGGCAGTGACAGGGAAACGATTGACGATGTATGCAGGTGTAAGGACGTAAGTAGGTAGTGGAGGACAGAGACAAGGACAGAGACAGAAGTAGAGGATTGTTATCTAGCACTTCTTATACAGTTTTTCTTGGTGCTGTTTCAAATATAGTGCGTAAAACAGGAAGTCCTCGTCACTCAATTTCAATTGTGGAAGAGTCATGATCCTGAAGTGAGTTTTCAGGACGGCGGTTTGATGAACGCGAGCTGCTCGCATCAGAATCTGCCACCGCTACATTTCGGCAAATTTAAGCCGTATCAACAAGCTATGGGCAGGGTCGCACCAGAGGCGGTGGGTAATAATAAAATAGACTTTATCAACATCTCCGTGTTCACTCATGGTTTTAGTCGGAATAGAATCTGGGGTCTCAGTGATGATTGCTTTGATCTTGATGCTGGGTCCAACAATGTCAGCGACTCAGTCGGTCTAGCGTGTGCCCGTCAATGTACGAAGGGAAATCAACGTAAGGGAGCTCTTCGCTGGTTAGCTGAGCGAATAGAAGCTATCTTAATTTGAGGTCAACCTGAGAGGGTAGGCATGAGGGCAGTCCACGTGAGTGCATGCGGCAGGGCTGACTGAGCCACGCTCCGATGGCTGCGCTGAGTGATGGGTTATTTTTCAAGTACTGCTTACGATGATGGCAAAAGTGATGACGAAGACGACTGTTGCACGTGTGTCAGAAGATGAAGAACAAAGTTGAATGAGATTGGTGGGCTCGAAGGTATCTCAGTAACGATCAATGGTGACATGGGAGAACAGGTTGGGAGGAAGATGGGGAAAGCCATTAGTTTTCAGTTGGATGGTGTTTCAAAATATATGACATCTCTGTGCATTTGCTTTCTTTCTTGGTTATAACTTTATAGGAACTGGAGGGATATTGAGGCATCTTCCACCGTTTAGTCATTGTTTCCAGTTGCAACACCCCAGAAGTAAGCTGCCCACGCTCCTAGGATCAACAGAACCAATCCACCGAAGCAGACCTTGGAGATCAACTTGTTGCGGGCCCCGTTCTCCTCGTGGAATGCCCTCTTCCTCTCATTCCAAAGGTCGCCGTTGGCGATACGTTGCTTCCTCGTCCATTGCAGGTTGCCCAGATCAACGGACCACCATGAAAGTCCAATCAACGCGATGGCAACCAAGACTGATGCAGCAGCCAGGATAACGTAAACAATGACGACGTGTTCGTAGCCGTCATTGTCGGCATCCTGAATGGCGCCAGTGATGATACGGACGATGATGTTCATGCTGAACTCCGATTAGTCGGTGCTTCATTGAGAGTAAATGGAGGCAAACTTACGCATTATTCATGGCAATCTTGACGGCGTAAGCTGAGCCAAAGACGGACTGGTGCCACATGGACGTGCGAATACTGTCAATGATAGGGGTGGGACCGAAGGTAGACGAGATGGCGTAGATGCCGAACGCAGCGGCGGTTCCGGCCTTCTCGGAAGCCCAGTTGACAAGAGCCATAGCCAGGAAAACACCAGTTCCGCAAATAGCGACTGGAAGATGTTAGCATTATACCGTGTCAAGTCAGGTAAGGTCTACTCACGCAAGGTGATACGGTTGCCCAGCAAGTCGATGAAGGCACCAATGCATGGGACGAGGAAAAAGCCAGCGTACTGCAGGGTAGCAGAGTACCAGCCGGCGGTGATGGCGTCAGTCTTGAACCGCTTCTCGGCCAACTCAGTCGCGTTCTGGGTGAAGACGATCGCGGCACTCGTCTGGAACAGAGAAAAGGCCATGATCGCCCAGAAAACCCAAGGAAGCTCGAGGACCTTCTTAGGCTGGAATTTCTTCGACTTCTCCGTCAACTTTTCGCCGGTAGCAGGGTCCTTCATGTTGCCGAACTTCTTGTGGGCGACGCTGTTGAATTTGTAGAAGCCGGCGGTCATCACGTTCGTGAAGATGTTCATGAAGACGGCAACCCAAAAGACCCAAGCGAAGTTGCCGGTGTTCTTAGCAATCACGTTTGCTGAAGACTTGCCGACGAAGCCGCCAATCTTCTTGATTCCGAGTTCCAGTCCGAGAGTCGATGCAAAGCCGTTGTTGGGCGAAAACCAGGAGCTGAAGACCTTGTACTGGGCGACTTGGGTAGCGATGTCGCCGAGTGCGAGGATGACACGTCCGCCAATCATGAACTTGAAGGAACGGGTCTGAGCCGCGGCCGCGACCAGGATGGAGCCGATGGAGTAGATGATGTTACCTGAAGTTGTCAATCACGAGTCCCGATGCATTCTAGAGTTGCCAATTTTTACTCACCATACAGCATGGCGCCAGCTCCACCAATTCTGTCGGTGACGATACCACTCGTGAGAATGAGCAGGGTGACCATGAAGTCCTCACTGGCCTCAAGAAGGGAGAACTGCTTGTTGTTGATGTCAAGCTCCTTCTTGAGGGTAGACTTCAACGCGCCGGTAATGCCGGAACTCCATGATGAACCGAAGCTGATGCACGAAATCATGATGACCGCGATGAGCTTCCAGTACATCGGGGGTTGCGGCTTGTTGCTCTCAAGCGACGTGGAAGGGGAGAGCTCCGGGAGGTCGTTAACAGCTTCGGTGGGCTGCTTCTCCCGACGAGACTCGACGTCTGAGCGTGACTCCATGCTGTCAGAAGTTCCGATTGCTCGGTAGCTGGCAGGAATGTGAGGAAGGAGATGCACGAGGAGAACTCGAAATCAGCCTGAGAGCTGACGTTGAAGAAGTTCATATATCCGCGGGCATCGTCAGTTGGAAACGACTATTCCGTAAAAGTGGGAGCCAGGATCAGTCGGGAGGATTTGCTCACTGTGAGAAAACGAAAAAGGAGCCCAAAAGGGGTCTAGAAAACGGGGGTTTTCGCGCAGGATTTTTCTTTCCCCAGTCAAGGTTTTGCGCTCGCTAGCGCGCCAAGTCCAACGATGGGCTCGGAGATGCATCTGATAAGATTAAAAAGGCAACGGACCCCTTTACGAGTCAGGGATATGCCAGACTACACTCCGTTGCATTGACAGCGTCCGCCCCCCTTTTTTTTCCCCGCTTATGCAAAAACATAAAAAAAAGCTAATTTTACGCTATGATACGTATTTCTCTATATTATATATAAAACGTATTAAAGTTATTATTAATACTTTAATTACTATTAATTACTATAGTCTTAATAATATTTAAACGTATAACTATATAATAGAGATATAAAGTATATATTTTATACTTCTATAATAGTTAATTTACTTATTAAAGTATTACTAACCTAGCTAGTTACTTTATTTTTATACTATTTAACTAATAAAAGGTTTATTTTTATTATAAGAGATTAAGATAATATTTACTAAGAAATAAAAGAAGAGACTTACTATATAACTTTATATATCTACTTAGTATATAGTTTATATAGCTCTAAGTAATATATAAATATATTAAGAAGTTTAATATAGTTCTTTAGAATAAATACTTTAGTAGTTAATAAGATTAATAAATCTCTTAATAGCTTAGTTTATTTATAATATTAAGTAAAAGTCTATTACTATATAGATTATACCTTATTACTTATAATTTATTACTAGTTAGTATATATTTATAATTTATTATATTAGATATATTAAGAAAGATACTAAGTAATAATAATAATATAATAGCGTTTAAAATATTAAATCTATAGCTATTAATAATTATAATAATACTACTATTTAAAAACTAAAAAACCTATAAACTAATAAGTATTATTAGTTATATTAAACAAATAATTTAATAATATAGATTATAATATAATATTACTAGTAAAATATAGAGATATAAGAGGTACTACTAAAGTTAATAAAAGATAGAAATATAGTATTATATAAAGTTTCTTAAACTATTATAATATTATAGTAATCTATTTCTTAAAGAGATATAAGATTTCTTATATAAAGCTTTTAAGATCTAAATTAGTTATTCTATAATTAGTTAATAGTTAAACTTAGCTAGCTAGATAAATAAGAAGTTTAAGATTATTACTACTTAGTAAAGTAATAATTTATAATATAAATATTTATACTATATATAATAATATTACCCTAATTAGCTAATATTTATTAATAAATTTAGTATTAATAAGGATATTAAGATATAGAGGATTAGATAAGTATTAAAAAAGCTTATTATATTTTAAACTATAGAGATTAATTAGTTTTAGAACTTTTATATATAAATCTTATTAGCTTTTATATTAAGTAATATCCTATATTTAACTATATATTATAGTATAACTAATAGTAATAGGTTTTTTTATTAACTATAAGAATACTTTATCTTAAAATATAAGCGTTTTCTAAAGCTAAACTCTATTATTATTATAAATAACTTCTCTTATTATTATATACTTTAAATTAAGATATTATATTAAGTATTAAATATCTATTTTAAGTTTTTACTTCTATATTTACTAAACTTTAACCTTATTAAAGAGTACTTTAGTAATCTAAAGCGATATATTAAGAAAATATATTTAAAGTAGAATAATAATAAGAATAATACTTAGGATTTTATAGAATATCTATATAACTACGCTATAGAGATTAAGTATTATCTACTTTAAATTAAGGGCTATTTCTACTATTTATTTATTAACTTTAATAGGATAGAGTATATATTTAATAATATTAAACTATAAAAAGGAGGATAAACTATAGATATTAAATATTAATAAGTAATCTAAATTTTTATTATATATTTATATATAATAAATCTTAATTATATTATTATATAATAGTTAATTATTAAATCTATAATTATAGCTAATAAGATTATTAAAAAGTTAGCTATAAGTATATTAGAACATAAAAAATATACTATTATCTATTATTTTTATTAGTAGCTATATATATATATTAATTTTACTTATATAATAGCTGAAATGCGTTATTAATACTTATAATAATAATTTGTGATAATAATATATTATTATAATTAGAGACTTTAACTATAATTAGAGACTTTAACTACCTCTAATTAGTATTAAGATAGACTGAAATATATTATTTATAGATCTAAAATAATAGTAATTCTATTACTTTTATATATATAAAGTAGTAGTATTAAATCTATAGCTATAAGTAGACTTTTCTATAGTTAAATATATTATATAAAAAATCATATATATAGTTAAACTTTATACTACTCTTATTATATTACTCTTTTTTATTATCTTCTTCTAAGTAATATATCTCTATTAATAATATATTACTTAAGATTTTAATCTAATTATCCTTATTACTTTATTTAACTTTATCTTATTTAATCTATAACTATATAGGTAGTATTTATAATACTAATAGTAGTAGTAATAAAATAAAACTAAAGAGTTTTAAAATACTTATAAAGTTAGCTATATTTAATAATAAATAGCTCTATATATACTTACTATATTAACTAACTTTAATTAGTATACTATAAATTTCTTACTTAATAGATTAATATAGTATTAAAGTGTTAATATATTAGGATAACCTTAATTTACTTAAAACTAATACTATAAAGTTTTTAATTAGTACTACTATTATCTTTTTTAGTAATTTAGTATATATTTTTATATAAATATCTCCCTCTAACTCTTAATAGTTTAAATAAAGTTTAGAATAAGATATTATATTAGAGAGGGTATTAAACTACTTTCTATAATAAGTACTATTATCTATAAAGGATTTAATTAAGTTCTTAATATCTTTAGTAAGATATTAAGTAAAACCTTATTTAGTAAACTAAATATTTAATAATTTATAAATTACTTATAAGTTACTATTTACTAATTATAGTTTCTATAGCTTCTTTTTAAACTCTTTATTAATATTATATTACTTATTATAAATAGATATAAACTACTTAATAAAGCTAACTACTTAATCTAAAACTTTTTAAGATAAATCTAATACTATTAGTAAGGATAAATAAATTAAGAGTATAATATTTAGTTAATAAGTATTTAAAATATTTAATAATAGAAAAGTTAGTAATAAATATTATAAAATATTTATATATAGCTAATATAGTAGTAGTAGCATTATTAGTAGTAATAGCTATATATATAGGTTAAGATATTAAAGATAATAATCTAATACCTCTATATTACTATATATATTAATAATAGCGTTACTATTAGTATTAGTTAAGCTAAATCTTAACCCTAATAATAGAAATATAATATTTTTAGCTTTCTCTTTTATTATTATTATTATCTATTAATTATTATTAACTTTAATAATATTCTTATTTCTCTTACTCTAATATTTTTAATCCTCTATAAACTAATTATAAAGAATCTTACTAAGTAGTTCTTTAAGTAGTTCTATATTATTAATACTAACCTATTTAGTTATAATAGCTTTTACTTATTTCTCTATATAATAAGATTTAATCTTATAATACTTCTAACTTAATATATAGTATTAGTTAAACTTCTTATTACTTAAACTATTCTTATATCTCTAGTATTTTAAATAAATATATATATAGAGAAGTTATCTATATATTCCCTCCTTCTAACGCTTAATATTTATAAGATTATTAGCCTTATAATTAATTACCTCTTATATACTAGCTAAAACGCTTATTTAGCTACTTTTTTAAAATATTTATATATTAGTTATTATACTACTAGAGATTAATATAATATTATATTACTACTTAATAGTAAAGTAGATTTTACTCCTCTCTTTAGCTTATTTAAAAGAGGGGATAATATTAACTTATAGAATATTTAGCTAAGTAACCCTTCTAGTAAATAAATAAACCTAAGTAAAAATTAATATTAGTTTAGATATATTAGTAAGCTTCTTCTAAGTAATAATAATAATAATATTAGCTTTCTTTATAATATATAAATAAGCTACTTCTATTTTAAGTTAAATACTACTATCTACCTCTTAATCTCTATTATTTATATTTAATATAGAAGTAATACTAAATCTATTATATATAATACTCTTAATAGTTAGATTAAGAATAAATAAACTATTACTTTTAAGTATTAGGCTATAAATAACTTAGATTTATAGTAGAGTTAGTTCTTTATTACTTATATTATCCTCCTTTTTAAATATATTATAAAATAATATAAATATATTATTAGTATTATAATAAGAAGTTATAAATATATTATCTATAAATTAAGTAGTTTAATAAGGGGTTAAGTTAACTAAAGTTAAGTTTAGTTAAAATAGTAATATTAATAAAAGTAGAGTACTTTAGAGCTAAATTATATATAGTAGATCCTTTTTTTACTTCCTCTATATTATTATTACTTTTTAGTAAGAAAATACTTTTAGAGCTCTTTATAATAATAAAAAAGCTATAAGTATATACTTTCTTTATAATATAGATTTAGCTACTACTAAATTATTAATCTTAGGTCTAACCTTAGTAATAATAATTTCCTTAGTAGCTTCTTTAATAGTAGTAGCTTAGTAAGCCCTCTTAGTAAGTATAATAATTCTAATTAATAGTAAAGTAGAGTATTAAAAAGGATCTCTAGTAATATCCTATACTAATTATTATATATATTATTATTTCTATATATTATTAGTAATAAGTAATAGATAATACCTAAAAAGGTTATTATTTACTTACTAAGCTATATAGTAGTATTTAG